TTGGGTCATTTTGGAGCAGTTTGGGATCGTTTTTGGGTCATTTTGGGTTATTTTGGGTCAATTTTGGGTCATTTTTAGGTCAATTTTGACTCAATTTTGGGTCGGTTTTGACTCAGTTTTTGGGTCATTTTGGGGCAGTTTTGGGTTGTTTTGGGGCAGTTCTGGGTCATTTTTAGGTCAATTTTGACTCAATTTTGGGTTGGTTTTGACTCAGTTTTTGGGTCATTTTTTGGTCATTTTTGAGTCATTTTTGACTTAATTTTGGGTCACTTTTGGCTCAGTTTTTTGGGTCATTTTTGGGTCATTTTGGGTCATTTGGGGCATTTTGGGGGGCATTTTTGGGTTATTTTTAGGTCAATTTGGGTCATTTTTAGGTCAATTTTGACTGAATTTTGGGTCAGTTTTGACTCATTTTTTGGGTCAATTTTGGGGCAGTTTTTGGCTCAATTTTGACTCAATTTTGGATCATTTTTGACTCAGTTTTTGAGTCAGTTTGGGATCATTTTTGGGTCAATCTGAGCTCAATTTTGGGTCAGTTTTGACTCATTTTTGGGTCAGTTTTTGGGTCAATTTGGACTCATTTTTGCCTCAATTTTTGCTCTATTTTGGGTCAGTTTTGACTCATTTTTGGGGTCAATTTTGGGTCAGTTTTGACTCAGTTTTTTGGTCAATTTTGACTCAATTTTGGGTCAGTTTTGGCTCATTTCTCGACTCACATTTGACTCAAATTTGGCTCAATTTCAACTCATTTTTACCTCAATTTCTGCTCAATTTTCCCTCAATTTCGGTCCAACTTTTGGCCCAATTTTGGCCCAATTTTGGGCAATTTTTGGGTCATTTTGGTCCCTTTTGTTCCCTCCCCTCCCCCAGCGTGTCCTCCTGGGCATCTACGTCCTCCTGATGACGTCATCAGCGGCGGGGGCGGGGCTCTCCGTGATTGGTGCAGTCGCCGCCACCAGGGCCCGCCCCAAACGGATCCAGCCAGTGAGTGACCAGGGGGGCGTGGCCTAAAGAGGGAGGGGCTTAATCCAAAGGGGGCGTGGTCTATAAGGGAATGGGTGTGGTTTCTCTGGGGGGGCGTGGCCTCGCTCTGACCACGCCCCCTTTTCCTCCAGCCCGTGGTGATTTACCAAACGGCCCTGCCCGGCATGGGGGCGGGGCCTGTGGAGGCCACGCCCACCAGTGACCCCGCCCCTCAATGAGGACCAATCGCGGCTGAGGGGCGTGTCTGGCTCCGCCCCCTCCTCGTGTCTTCGCAGAATAATAAATAGAAATAAAAATATCAAAATCAACGAAATGTTAATATATAAATAATTATATTAATTTTAAATATTTTAATTTTATTTAACGTCAGTTAATTAATTAAATGTCGATATTTTCATTGTCGTTTCGAATTTTTAAATGGAATTTAAAAAAAAAATTAAAAAATAATTAAAAAATATTAAGAAATAAGTAAAAACAAGCAAAGAAATAAAAGGCAAATCATATTTAGCCAGAAAAAAAAAATTAACGGTATTTCCTTCCTTTTTTTACCTCTTCCTCGAGTGAGTTTAAACCCTAAAAATATTTTTTTCCTTCAATTTAACCCCCGAATTGACGGCAAAGGGAAAATTCCCTCCAAATTTAAAAAAAAAGATGTTTAAATTAAAAACCCTCAAAATGATGAATAAAAAAGCTGCGTTTCCTTCGATTTAACCCCTTCGAAACGAGGGAAAACCCGCGGGCTTTGCCCTCGATTTAAATCTCAAAAGGGGGTTCCTTTCCCAAAAAAATCGAGAAAAGAGGGATTTTTCCTGCATTTAAATATTCCTAATTAAAAAAAAAGGGGGATTTTCCGGCGGTTTAAACCCTAAAAAATCGTAAAAAAAAGGGGGATCCCGCTTTAATTTTAAACCCCAACATGGCGGCCGCGGCCTGAGGGGAGGGGGGGGCGGGGGAAGACCGGAAGTCAGCGCGGGGCATCACGGGAGTTGTAGTTCCGGGAGGGCGGGGCGCCAACGCTTCTCTATGGGCGCCGCGGGGCATCATGGGAGTTGTAG